AGGCACTATAATTTGCCATTAAAAGTGATTTTAATTAGATTGCTTCCTAGTTATTATCCAAAGTTGCACTCAGAGGTGCTTTATTTGGTTTGGCTATCATGTTTTGGAGATTGTTTTTCATTTAATCTAAAATTTGTATTAAATCCTTGACCAAAAACAAAACAGGACAACTAAGAGAGTGACACTATATTTCATAGAAAAGAAAAAAATTAAAAGATTCAGAAAACCTAAGAATGGGGCAGAGAGGGATCTTAATATCATCTAAAAAGTAATTATCTTTCAAATGTATTTCTAGTTCTTTAGAGAAATTCACATTATAAATTAACATCTTGAACTAATATTTTAATTATGAATGGAAATCCTGCTCCCAAGAAGTTTATTCCTAGCTGTCTTAATTTTAGAACCTAGTCAAATGGGAACAAATAAAAAACATCCATATTAAAAAGACAACAACAAAAGAACAAAAAACCCCACTATCTTGGTATCAGCATAGCAAAAGCAAAAAAAAAAATCAAGACACTCAAGAAACTCTCAGATAATGATCTATCAAATTCATCATTTTGACTACAGGTACAAACACAAGATGCAAACACATTACACAAATTAGTTCCCCTGAAGCTGGATTTTAACTCCAGAATTAAATTTCATTATGGATTTAACAAGCCCTAAAATATGAACAACTAAAACAGATAAGTGGCTTATGATAAAAAAAAAAAAGCAAAATAATATATAGGATACAGAAGTTCCTGCAAAATGTGCTTGTCTTAACGTTGTCAATAATATTCATTAGGCACTACACACTGTTAATTATCAGTCTTTTAAAAAGGCTTAAATCTGGATATGTTTAGTTATTCATCTTGGCATTAGTCCTGGAATATTACTATGAAAAATGCACTGAAATTCTATGTCTACTGGCTATTTAAACATTAGAGTATTTTATGCAAAGCATTTGGATTGTGATGTTTTATCTGTTTCTAGCAAAGAACACACACATCAGCTTCCAGCATAAATAAAATCATCCTCATTCTAGCATTTTCTTTATTTCTCAAAATCAAAATCCAAACCACTCCAAGCATGCTCACTATGTAGAAGCACAGAAAACAATACATTTCCCCATGCTGTGCGTATAGGGAGTTACCTTTTTTCCTTTTTTCTTCCTGTGAGCCGGTTTAGCATTTCTCTCCTTTGCCTCCTCACTCATTTTTCAGCAAGTAATTATACAGGGTGGGAAAAAAGGGATCACTGCTTATATTCCAACATCTAAAGCTACTGCAAATATTCACAGCCTTGAAACCAAAGTCCATCTGCTGACGTTTCTCAGACAAGTAACAGAATAACTGCTGTTTAAAACAGCCCCTGCTCCTCCTGCAGACTTCAATTGCTCATGGTCTTGCTCTGTTTTCTTCAGTAAGGAGCTGGGCGTTCACATCAAAAAGTCTATTATTTCTCTAAAAGAAAAAACAAAAATATTTTCCTCTTTCCTTTTTAACAAATCATTATCCCTGAAATAAGATCTTGACAACATTTCGTAGATTGTTCATCCACAGTATTTTCACCCTCTAAATGGTGTTGATGAGCCACACAGAAATTAGGAGCAGACTGCTGACAAGCCTCAGCAGCTTTCACCAGTGGCCGATTTTCTGTTTCTTGCAGATGAAGAAACCGAGCAGTAATTGCTCTGATTGCTGATAGCCTACAATACCAAAACATATGTTGAATGCATCAGGGCATACCAGAAAAGAAAGCCTCTAAGAGAGAGTGATAAAAGATCAGGTTACTGGATCTTAAAGCCACTCCCAGACTGATTCAAACAATAAAAGGCACAACATGCTGCTGAAGAAATTGCTAGACGAATATTTACATTTCCCAATGCTACCTACTCCAATCCAAAAGATCTACAAATTGCCAATCTGAACGTTAACATTTAGAATATTATTAATTATTAACCACATAAAAGCACCACCAATATTTGCATAAAGCATGTATTTACAACTGTTCCTGTCCCTAACAGCTCTCGCCACCCCTGTTTGCCTGCTCGTATGAGAGGATTTATAAGAACCCTTGACTAAGTAGATCTCTGTTGGACTGGAATGTTACGTGCCTTATGTGTGCATAAGTCTATGGAAGGTCACAGATCATGTTTCCACACACTGACAACCTACTCAGCAGAATGTTTTTGGCTTGTTCTGCCTGGGTCTCCAGTGGAGAATCAAAAATGTTTGAGACTTCATTATAAACTCTCTCTCCACTCTATGCCCATTGAGTCATATGCCAATTCTGCATGCCCCATGAACTACCGTGTTGCAATAATAGCATTAATTCAAAATGAATCTAAGTTATACTACTTGCTGCTTTTAAGATGGCACATCCCTTCATAAATGAGCATGTACACTAACTACACCAAGGAAGATATGATCAGAGCTGATGTGATTGGTTATTAGTTCCATTGGTACCACTGTGATCTTTGTAGCACCTTAAATTCATGTACTGTATGGGAACTTTGACCAGATTAGAAATGCCAATACGCATAATTTCGATGGCCTGCATATTGTTAAAAGTGCTCTGTCTTCCATAAATACCCAGTTTTCATCCTTTGCTACTCCTGGAACTCTACATATTCAAATACCCATGATTACCAATCTGTGCGCCACAAAGCAAAACATGCCATTATATTTGAGGGACAGTGATTTCACCTATACTGCTAATTTCCTTCTCAGCTTTCTCCCTTATTCACCTCTCAATGATTTTTAGTGCATATACAGGCAGTCCTCGACTTACAACATTTCGAGTTACAATGTTTCGCACTTACAACGTTTATAAATTGACACCCTGTTTCAACTTTATGACGTCTGTGTCAACTTACAACGCTTGGTCCTATGCAATACCACGCCAGTGAACAAGTTCGCTGCATCGCTCATCGCCCTGTCCAAACATCTGTCCAAACTTCTTTGGGCACTTTCTTTAAGAAAGCAGACAAGACTCCAGGACTCCAGGAAAACCTGCAGCCAAGACTCCTGAGAAGACTCCAGCCAAGAACCCTTCAAAAAGTCCAACCAAGAGCCTTTCAAAAAGTCCAGCAGAGTCACCTCAAAGAAGTCCTTCCAAATCAATATGATTGCCATTTACAATATAAATTACATGAATGTAGCTATATTACTCATCTATAATTGATCAAGTACAAACTTCTGGGGTATTTTTGATGAAAATAGGGTATCGGGCCTTGTTTCAGGAACCAATCCCCCATTTATAACATTGTTTCTTATGAGCAAATTGGTTCCGAGTTACAACGTTTCGACTTAAGATGCGGTTTTCAGGAACCAACTTTGTCATAAGTCCGAGGACTGCCTTTACACAATATCTCTATCCCATGTAGGATGTTTTTCATATGTGAGCAGCAAGACTTTAGGCTCCATATCTGAATGTACTGTGAGCATACCATAAACATGCTTTGCCTCCATACAGATGGGGAAACTAATACTCTGCAGCATCACAGCGAAATTTGAGAGTTTGATGACCTGTGCCACAAACACTGTAGAGTTCAACTAAAACACTGGCAAGAGCCTACTGATACAATTTACCTTAAAACTGCATTCTAGACATTGCTGGCATGTGACAAAAGCTGTATCTAGCATTTATATAAAAGTGGTGTCTAAAAGCTATGGGAAATTTACAACAACAGGAAGCTTGCTTTTAATGGCTGTTTCACTGAGGAGCTTTCTGATTTCATGTTCTTGTACAGATACCATGTTATAAACTAAAGTGCTCTCTGCTGGTTAACAGAGGGAAAAACAGTGCTTTAACGCTTAAATAATCTACTCCACTGCTGTATGTGTAATTTCTTTAAAAAGTGACAGTCTTTTGTCTTACTTACAGTACTTATTAATGTTCTCATTAAGCCACTAATAAAGGCACATTTAAATTGTGACTGAGTATTTGTATTGTCAGCCCTCTGTAAAGAACGTTAGTTTGCAGCCACTTTAATTAAAAAGACACAACACTGAAAAGCTAACTTTTTATGGGGGAAAAACAATATTCCATGTCAAACCATTAGTTTTAAGGGGAAAAACATGTTCAAATGAATTAAGGCCTAAATGGCAAAGTCTGCTGGAAGTCAAATGCTAAGTGGAAAACCATATGTACCATCTCTTATTAATGTGAATCATTAAGTAGGACAGTGTGAGTACTAGATTCCTGGGAGGTTTGGAATTCTTTAGGCCTGTGTAATTCACAGATCTCAAGATATCTCTGAAACACCACTACAAACATGCCACTACAATTCCACTTCCTCCATCTTCCACCACAGTATAGCTAACTCAGGAACTTTGCTCGCATTCATTCTCACTCATTCCTGAACTAAAGTAATGTTTCAGGAATTGTGATGAAATTATCCAGCCTCCAAAAGTCTGAAAAAAAATTATGTTTGTAAGAGTTGTCCCCAGCCATTTCTTATCCAACCAACCACCCTTTTTGCTCCCAGCAAAACTGCATAGAGATTAAGTTCATGAACTTCTTCAAATTTAGAGGGGTATAAAGCTATTTAAGCATCAACATTTTGACTATTTTTATGGCCTTTCTTCCATTTTCTCCATGTCTACAAATACTGGTAAGACCAGGAAGGCCATGAAATTTATAGCTCAACAAATTTAAAAAGTCTTTAGCACAGGTAAAACCACTTAATTCAGATGCAAAATGAGCTGAATACGAGAAAGAAAAGTAGCTGTGAGAAATATCCAATAGGAATAAAGAAAGATTTTCCTAAGATACTCTTAGGAAACCCTTCTCTCTCTTTCCTTTTAAAGCATACCTTAAAACTCACTTTTTCTTTTACCTCTCACAAAAAATGCTGTCAATTAATTGCTGACAGCAATCTTCCATCAAAATTAATTTTAAAAAAAGCGAGACCATGTCACCCTTTAAGTCTATCAGTATATATTCATGTGCTTGATACACCCCTGATGGAAGTAGTGAGCTGCGATTTGTATGAATACAAGCTCTTGGGAATTGCTCTTAGACTGCAAGATCCTTTACACCAAGACCCTGGCCCCGAGTCTCACTTCCCTCCAGTACCTATGTTTGTGCAGTTCTCCCTACAGCAGTGGTTCTCAACCTTTTTAGTCTCAAGGCACCTGTTGTCAGACTTGAGGCACCGCTCCATAACTTTTGTGAATTGAGCAGCACCCTATTTCAATAACTAATTTATTACAGGGCTTAGCTCCTTGTAGAGAGGCCGGGCAGTGGGAGGAAGAGAGTAGCAAGGCAGGAAAAGCCCTGAGCCTGCCTTTATCTGCTTATCTCTTACCTGAAGCCTCAGCCTGTCTTTATTTGCTTACCTCTTCACACTTCTTGTTATCCCCTTCAAAGGATCTTGTGACACCCTGATGCCCTGGTTAAGAATCATTGCCCTATAGGCTGGAAAAGCCAAGACACCAAGGTATACAACAGGGCAGGGGCTGCTCCAACTTAAACTGTACATACTGTGGCTCCCTATAGTAACTGTAATCTTACCATGCCCTTGGCCTACTCTCACATTCTACTGTAGTTGGGATACAAGATGGTGAAGAACAATTATGCCAGCCATTACCCAGTTAAACCCTTTGATATTTGGGGGCCTTTGGTATTTTGGGGGCATTTCCGCTATGTTGCATTTCCAGAGAAGCATAAAGGGGAGCAACTGAGAATCAGGACCAAATATTATCTTCTATGCAATAATGAGCCAAGCATACCCAAAAAGCACTGAAATGATAATAATATCACACAAAAGTAAAATATGGAACAAGCCATTTTGGCAAAAAAGAAAAAAATGGCATCCAAGATGATTTAAAATCTTACTGAAAGAAAAAGTGCTTGATCAAAGTCAAAGCCTTTAAATTTAAAACAAGCAAAGCAGAGGACTCCCAAAATACACACACATAGAATTGCCTTCAAAAACTCTAAAGAAGCATCATTCATAAAATATTCGAGTGAGGTTTAAACACATAGCAATTTGCTTTGATCAAGGGAGCAGTTTGATTGATTGGGAAAAATTATAGAGAATGATTACTACTGTAAGCCAGCCACATTGTTATCATTCCCAGCTCTTAGGAACCAGTATCTTCTTTTAATGCTCCACAAAGAAAATAAAATATTTGTTGTGAAACGTGTGTGTCTTGGAAGGAGGGGTATGGTCTGGTAAATTGTGCCCTAAGTAAAATACACAAATAAGTGAATTAAAATAATACTGAAGTGTTGTTGAGATGTAGGAGGACCAGAATTTATAGAGCTGTGCTTTACAAATGTCTGACCTGTGACTGGGTTAGAATAGCAACATCCTTCTACATAACTGATTGCTTAATTACTGTATAATGCAGAAGTGAACTCTCACCAACTCAATGATACATATCTACTAGGACAGTTCTATTTTTAAATAAAAAATAACTCGCATAAGAGGACAACTGTATAGGCCAAGTTCAGTCTATCAGGACAGTT